CGGTGGAGTGCACCTGAGAACGTGCCGGAGCTTTTTAGGGCCAGGTGTCACGCAGCTGCACAGGCTGCTTCGTGGACGTTCTCGGCCACAGGAAAAAGCTGGGCGGCTGGAATGGTGCACGTTGCGAAATTGAGCAGCAGAGTCTACGTCTTGCAAGTTCTGGAGGTGGTTGTAATCTTGCCGCCGCTGACACCAGCCTTTGTCAAGGACGATGTGCTGCGGACACCCACTTGAAAAACCTTTGAGCATGCTGCAGCATTCGCTCTTGTGTGTCCTCGTTCGGGCTGACTTAAGGATGCTGGTGGAGCAGATGGGCTACTGAGCCTGCACATGTAAGTTTTTCTCCCGACGAGTCTTCTGGGGCATGGTGTGATTCGTGACATCCTTTGGTGGCTGCTTCAGAAGTGATTTCCGTGTCCACTGTGAGAGCGAGAGCTCTTCTACCCAGGATTTGCCCAGGCTGCGGCAATCGAGTCAGGATCTGTGGCACTGCAAAGTCCAGGCGTGTGGCCTTCTGCACGACAAAACTTTTGCAATTCGGCGCGGCAACCAGAAACTGCCTCCTGATTCTCCTGCCTTGGACAGGCCTTGTCGCGCTACTACAGCAGAATCCCTCACCGTGTCGTGGGACAGGAAATTAAGTCAAGTGGAAGTGCAGAAGTCAGAAGCACATTTGCGACGTTTTTACGACGCGGCCATAGTTGTCTTGAGTACAGAGCGAGGAGGTTTCCGTGCAAGGAGACGTCACGTCACGATTCAAGTAGGGGCCGAGGATAAGGGAGCCTCAAGTCTTCCTCCTGAGCAGCTGAGAGCCTCGTGCCACAGACCCATATGGCCAGGCCATGTCGGACATGTGCATCACAGGTGCTGTCTGCTAGTTGCCTGACCCTGTCTAAGGTTGCACCGTGTTGAATCTGGGCTTTTCCAGCTGCTTTGCGCAGCCTTCGATTGAAGGATTGGCAATCGAATCGGCTGGGCGCCGGCTGAATGTCGGAGGCCTGTGAGTTTGCAGACAGAGAGCCCCACTAGGGCAACACGCATGATTCAAGATTGGCCGGACGAGGACGAGTCTTGACGAATCTGCTACTTGAGCGACTGCCACGGTCTCAGTTGCTCTCGCACTGGGACAGCGGGACGATAGCTCGGAGCTGACTCAGAGGAGAGACTGTTCCAGATGACAGATTAATCTTGGTCTTTAAAGAAGCGTGAGGGTCAGATTCCGTGATGGCAGCGATTGAAGTTTCTTCTGTTGCACCCCCTCAAATTATGGCCCACCGCAGTGGGATGGAGCCCTTCCCAGCAGCTATCCATTAGGATTCCAGTGCCAAAACCGTATTGAATTGATCTCGCAAAGGCTGAATGAGAGCACCACAACAGGCTCTGCAGGAAAGGAGGGGGTGCTCTTAACCTCTGAGGCTTTGTTGGCATGACAGTACCAGTGCAACTAGTAGAAGAAGTAGTTTTAGTAGTAGCAGTAGCAGTACTACGAGGGAACGAGGAGGAGTAGTAGCAGTAGGCCCCCCCCTACCACCGACACTTGCTCTAAACCATCTTAAGAGCACATCCATTTTATTCGTGATTTGCGGCACTTTCGTCATGGCTCGGAGGGGTGGGGGGGTGGGGGGATTTGGGTGGATGGGGGGTGGGGGTAATGACGACTCGCTCGCGCTCGGTATTTACAGTCCTTTCGTTTTGCGCTACCACTGCTTGTTGCCTCAAATATCAATTGCCAGCTTCAGTGCTTGTGATGATGAACATGATGGTTTCAGCCGGCAGGTCGTTGGTGGGTGGGGGTGCTTGGCTAGTAGCAGTAGTAGTAGTAGTAGTAGTAGTAGTAGTAGTAGTAATAGTAGTAGTAGTAGTAGTAGTAGTAGTAGAATTAGGAGTAGCAGTAGCAGTAGCAGTAGCAGTAGTAGTAGTAGTAGTAGTAGTAGCAGCAGTAGTTGTATTGGTATTAGTACTGGTATTAGTACTAGTGCTACTCGTAGTCGTAGTAGTAGTAGTAGTAGTAGGAGGAGTAGTAGTAGCAGTAGTAGTAGTAGTAGTAGTAGCAGTAGTAGTAGTAGTAGTAGTAGTAGTAGTAGAAGACTTAGTAGTAGTAGTAGTAGTAGTAGTAGTCGTAGTAGTCGTAGTAGTCGTAGTAGTCGTAGTAGTCGTAGTAGTCGTAGTAGCTAGTAGTTAGTAGCTAGTAGTAGTAATAGCAGGAGTAGTAGTAGTAGTAGTAGTAGTAGTAGTAGCAGTAGTAGCAGTAGTAGAGTCGTAGCAGTCGACCTGACGGAAATAGCCCCCCCCCCCCCCCCCCCCCCCC